GACGCTGTGTACACATGATTAGTAAACTTCATCCAGTCATCAGTCTCTCAAAGGCTACATGGAGGAGATGCATGGTGAAAGCTGAATCACCTTGTTAAGCCACAGTCAAGTGGGGGAAACCACAACCACAGTGGAAAATCAACTTTTTAATCACCTGTAACTCCAAAGTTTTTTCTTTAGAAAAGGAAACCTAAACTTTTTCTTTTTTTTTTACCCCCAGGACAATAAAGATGAATCCAAAATGCCACAATAGGTTTAAATAAGTGCACAATGATGCATGTTAAAGTCTGTGATTCAAGTTGTAAAAACTTTTTTTTTTTGCAAAGAAAATAAAGGACTAAATGTAATGCATTCAGTTGTTAAACTTCAGTAAGATAAACATCATCAATACATTGTGTAAGATAGGGTGTTTATAAAGTCCTCAAGCCACAGTGTTTTTTTCTGTGATTCTAAATTTGCATTTGACTTCCTATGTCAGGAGAGCTTCATGAATTATATTTCATATCACTAACAACATATTTCAAAGATTCTGTCTTAATATCCACGAGTTTGTTAACTGCAGTAAAGAAATGAAAATTAACACTAGATGACAACAGTGGTACCAAGAAAACCAACCAACACAGTACAGTACTTCAGAAAACAACAGATAATGAAGATGTTAATAACTGATTAGCTGATGAGTATTTGCCTCTTAATCTTATAGTGCAGTGAGTAATGATAAACTTGCTGTTCAGTGTGTGTTTGCTCAATTTATTTCTCATTGTGACATATATTTGCCTTAACCACACTATATATTGTACTCTATTCTGTTACACACACTATTACACATCAATTAAAATCTGAAGAGCTCCCTTGACAAGTTTCCCAAGCATTACCTGACTATCACAAGCGTGGGCAGGCCTCGCACTTCCTTTACACATGAATTACAAAGAAGTGTCAAGCCCCAGCCCCAAGCCCTTCACAGGTTCACGTCTTCCAAACCACAACAGTGACGGGTAGTCCTGTTTACCCAAATTACCGTGAAAAGGCTCTGTGGCTGTACAGTGACAGTTTGCCAATGATGCCTCTAGCGCACATCAGTCATCTTGTTAGCGGTTCCTCTGAAGCCGACTGTTCACATTAAGCCACTGTGGTGATGTGAGACGACTCATATTAACCAAGAGTTTTTGATCACATTGCAGTTTGAGTGTGCCTGTTGTTCAGCATGGGCTACACTTTGATTCATTCAGCAAAACATCAACATGTAACCCCCAAGTATGCAAAGATTGAAAACCTTTTGTAGAGAGATCAAAGGTGTTATCGCATGACACATGATGAAATATTAGTCACATCATATGAGGGGAGGGGGTGCTAAAGGTCGTACAAAAATGTGCATGCACAGTTAGACACCTCAGTGAGTCAGCATAGATGCAGGGGGTAGGGTGACTGGTGGTGATTGTTTAACTGACAGTGGGGGGATAGCGGGTGCTGAGGAATGCGGTGTAGGGGGGCTGACAGTCTTGTTATTACTGGAAGGTGAAGCCCTGTGCATCAGCTCTGTCTGTGTCCTTACCAGATAGCACTGATTGACATTTAAGTGTTGCTATAATGCTAATTTTTTCAGGGAGGAATATATGAGATCAGACTGTCCAGTGGTTTGAGTGATGCTTTACCATAACTGTTCAGTCAAAGGTATGTGTGATAGCCCTACGTGTCTTCCAACATGTACATAAACCCACACAGCTGGGTTATTATTACTGATTGTTACAAGAGCAAATGGTCAGTTGAAAAAGCAAAAACACTAAAAATGGAATTTGTAATAAAACAAAACAAAAATGTTGCTATAGTGCTCTTCTAATGCAACAACATGATAACTTGACATTTCAAACTGATATATGTACAATTGCAAGAAAACCACATTGTGTTTAACGCCTGAGAGGTGACAAATGTGAAGCACTTGTCATATAAAGGGCGTTAAAATGCAACACATTTGGAATGTAGTTGTCGGTGAGTGAAATCAAGTTACATTTCACTGCAACCTTTTGTGTCGTGTTAAAATCATAACATTTGTAATTTACCATTTTTCTCCTGTTAGAAGTTTCAACTGATGGCTGCAACTGGGGGTGTGCTAAACAGCCTCTAAAAGTGCTGTATCCTTTTCTTTGGTTGCAGAACGTAAGTTAAGAACAAACTGGTAACACTATCAGCTTCTTTGCTTTCAATAGTCATGACACGGAAACATCACCTCTAAGAAAAAATGGCACCGATATACTAACATGTGTTATTTATTTTAGATCATTTATTAAATGTGTAAATGTGTATCAACTTTCTTTGATACACACGTTTTCTTATATATTTTTTTCAGACAAAAGAAATCTTCGCCTTGGTCAATTTTCATTACTATAGTCAGATAAAAGTTAACCCTTAATATCTTGTTATCTGCATGACAGACCTGGTAAATCTAAATTTATTGTAAGGGGGGCAGGGAATGTCTGGGGCAGAGGTCCCTGTCTGCGTGACCTTCAGCTTCCACCTTCCAAAATATTTCTTGTGCATCACAGGGCAGGCAGGTTGGGAAAATGGAATCAACAACCGAAGAACCCATTCTCAGTAATAAGTCTGACTAACCATAGCTTACAGTAGATCAACCAAAACAAACCTTTCACTTCCAAGTATTTTGTATTAGTTCCTCCCCCATCTTATCTACAATTAAATGACATTCTTAATAAATACATGGTCTCAGATTAGTTTATTGCTAAATCTGCTGTTTTTTTACTAGCTTGACTACTTTTCAAAGATATATGAGCAGCTATGCTGACGACACTCAACTCTCTAAAACCTAAGGTGACCATTATTTCAAACTTTCAAATTGGGACACTTTAATTTGACCACACACCTACATGTATCAGTCCAAAGATTGGTGACCTGCACTCGTCACACATGGTGGAAGACAAAGCTGCTCTCCTGAGCAGCCTGTTAAGTTGGTTGCGTCTGTTGTTTGCCTCATTTCAGTGGATGTATTACTGTATGGATGTATTATTGGATGATAACTTAGGCAAGCTAAGCAACAGCCACAGATTGATTAACTCATGTACAGTAAAAGAAGTATTGAACTTTGACTAGAGTAGTATTAATGATGTTTCTCTTTTGGTTAAATCAGCAACAGCCTTGGCAAAGACATTGATTGACATGGACAAATCAGTGTTGCGAGCATGGTGTATTGTTTTGGTTGGTTAAAAGCAGTAAAGGGACTGTTCAGAACCGGGACATAGAGGCGGTCCTGGTCAAATCGTGACGAATGGTCATCGTAATGTAAACCTAACAACTGCTACATATGATTCAGGTATTAAAGTATTTATACATGGACGCCATTTAGCATTATTGACAGCAAACTGAATATATATATGAATATATATTTTAAAGTCTTGTGATTTATGATAGCCATTCAAACAAAAAAGAGTGTATTTCCAAATCTTTTAACACTTCCCACTGTAGCTCCTTTATTCATACCAGATGTGACTTCAAAGGAGCTAACACTCTCTTCTATTATTCAGACATACTGCCATCTGCTCTTTATATGAAAGTTACTGGCAACCATTGATCACAGCTGTTGAAAAGGAAAGTGCACAAAGCATTTTTGGCTAACTTTGACCGCTCATAGTTTTTGTTTCACTTTTTAAACAACAAATCTTTCTGCACATAAAGCATGTCTGACTGTGCTCAGATCTTCTTGTCACTCTTTTTGCAGGGAGGTTATCTTTGGATTTTCTGGTTCACCTCAAAGATACATGATTGTACACAGCATCTTTTAGTTCTCATTTTAAAGTGGCACTTATTGCAATTCTGGACAGAAGAACCTTATAATGACAGCTTCAGGTTAAGTCAAGTCAAATAAGTAAATACAGCAGACACAAAGAAACAATAAGACTACAAGTCCTGCTCCACTGTGGTTGTCAGATACAAGCTATTTTATTTGTCATTCTTGCTGTGCAAAGGTTAAAAACATGATTTCATGGTAGACAGGGGTCCACCGTCATACAAAATGTTTCTTCCTTAGAAACACAGTTAAATGACTTAAGCACAGCTGGCCATGTTTGTGAGAAAGTTCATCTGGACTTTTATCCTGTTGACAGATGAATTCATGTGACACTGATATAACATGATTGACTGCAATATCCACAGACAGGCAGAAGATTAAGGGGTAATTCGGCTTTTCAGTCTAGGTGAGAAGGTAAAGTTAACGGTAAAAATGTTAACCTAAGAGGTTAAAATAAACGAAGGCCAAAAAACGTGAAACATCATTTTGAATTGTGTAAGTATTGTACAACAATTACAGAAGTGCTGATAAAAACAAATGTGTATTCTTAACTACCGGTAATTACAATGAATCATTGAAAGGTCAAACAAAGGTCTCATAAAACAAAGTTGTCATAATGTACTCAGCCTTTAAGGTCTCCTAAACTGACCAGCTCTCTTCAGTTGGTCTATTTCTGTAGCTTTTAACACTATGGTTTGACATATCTGAAAGGGTAAAGCAGATATTTCTATATAAAGGGTGCAGGTTTCAGAGAAGTCTAGAACCACCGTCCTTTTGTCTGTATGTTTCCTGTTCCAGATAAGACTGTTTGAAGTGGTTTTTTTGTCTCTGCACAGAACCATCTCTTAATGTAGTGACCAGCATGTACAGGTACACTGAATCAGTATGGCACGCAAATATCCCACTGATAACCACTGTCCTCTTTTCTCTCCCTCTTTCTCAACACACACACACGCACACACACACACACACACACACACACACACACACACACACACACACACACACAAACACACACAAACACTGTACTCCACGCTTAAGGCTAAAATAAGTAACAAATAAAAAACTCAAAAGAACTGAATTACTAAGAGGAAAGTCAGCATATAGTACCATTAGCACTATAATCAATTCACCAATAAGAGCTCTCTAACCCTAAGAGAAAAGATGAAGAAGAGGGAGTGTCAAAACAAAGGAGGAAACCACTCTGTCCCTCACCAAAACCTGTAGCCAGACTGACATGTCACTTTGCTAGTCTCTTCACGGTCATGATGCAAGGCTGATCATCATTCTTCAGGGACGATATTCACTGAACAGGTAAGTGTCTCATTCACAAAGCTTGCTTAGTCTCTGGGGTTACCAAGACATGAAACCACAGACAAATACACTTTAGCATTGCTCACCTTTGATCTCCTGGGAACACAGCCTAGCATGCCGCTAGTGTTGCTTTCTAAGCCACAAAGTTCTGTCTTCTGACCCTAACATTGTGATCTTTGGGGAGGGTGTTCTGAACAACAATAGACAACTGCATATACTGTATGCATATCCTCTCTGTAAACTACAAGGAGCCTTAAGAGCTGTGAACTATGTCACTGCTCTGCAGGAGTGCAAGCATTAGAGCAGCATCAAGGGGAATTTTAGAATTGCATAACCCTTTTTTTTTTTTCTTTTTTTTTTTTTTACAAAAACAGACTGGATCGTCAAGAAGAAAATGCATAATAAGATCAAATAAAATGCCTTACAAATATTGATTTGTTGGGGGGTAGTTTTAATCAAACTTTTAACAACATTTTTAACTATCAAGCTTATGTGTCACGCATCCCATCAGTGTGAGTATGGAAGAGCGGTAAAACTTAACCTGCCCTGTGCATCAGCTCTGTCTATGGCCTGATCAGTTAGTGATGAATGACATTTAAGTGTTGCTATAATTCTAATTATTATGGGAGGAAATAGGTGAGATCCGATCGGTCCAGTGGTTTGAGTGATAATTTACTATAACTGTGCAGACAAATGTATGTAAGATAGCCCTACGTGTCTACCAACATACGCATACATAAACTTGGTGCTCCACTAGCCACCCAAAAATATATAGATTGTGCAATATGTTCAAAATATATATAAATATAATTATACTTTTTTTTTATTATTACTAATAATTTAATTTATGGGAAAATTTTGTACAAAATTCTTATTGAACATATTGCACAAAAGTCTTTTCATTGAGCATAAAACAGTAATTTCTTTAGCTTAGAATTTTGTGACACTGGCCTAAGATTTATAATGTGAACCATCTATCTTTGTTTTAATATTTGAATTTATGTGACGCACCTTCAGCTTAAAGCAACTGATACAATAGTCCTCGAAACCTACACCGACAAATTTGCAGTGAACATTGTTTTCCTCAGTTTAAAAACTGTATCTCTCCTCAGAGGCTGAAGGGATGTTTAGAACTGTATGGGTCCCAGAATGACTTGGTTTATCGGGCAGCTCAATATAGCCGTGTCATGTCCATGAACGCAGACGATAGGCCATACTAAACTGATGCGTTTAATTCGAACAATATTTTTTCGGCCTGACCTCGACACTATTATCACATATTCATTTCTAAAAGAGGAGATAAATACTACATCTAAATTCTCTGTATGGCCCTTATCAAATACACTAAATCTAAGTAGACGTTCTACTTCTGATACAGACCCCGCTCGACGGCACTTTCATTTTCAGCATTACGTTCTTTCTTAGAGTCATGGCTCTTAAAGCAACTTCTGATATTGACTTGAAATAATTAAATGTATTCACGACAGAGAGAGAGCGAGAGAGAGAGAGAGAGAGAGAGAGACTTACAAGTTTTTCACAAATATGCGTGCACATCAAAAAAGAATTCCAGTAAAGAGGCAACAAAATGTCATTTCGTTTCACATCTACTTTCCATTTACAGTCACCATCAGACGACCGAATGGGGTTGCGATTGTGCAACAACAACAAAAAAGCCTCTGTAATGTCTCTCAATACTTGTAGCCTCTGCAGCAGCAATCGACTACACACTGTATGATCATTGAAGTTGATTAGAGACTCTGACTGTGTGAAGATGACAACTTCAGACTTCCTATAGTTTCGACAGACACAACATTCTCATCCATGAATTTGACATTTTAGATGAAGAATGCCAAAATATTGGTGACATACTTACAGTAAATATTTACATATTCCACCCCTTCAGTTTGATGTTTATTGTATCCAAATATGGTCTCATTGTTTTTGATGTTGAAACTTTACTCATGTTTACTCCGGTGTACAGTCATTAGTCATGGTTTCGTATACTGGTAGGGCTTTGTGGCTTTACAGAGTGTATGTCAGTGCTGAATATCAAAGCTTATACAAAACTGAGTACATTTCCACACATTAACCAGACATTCAGACATGATATCAGAAACAGTTGTGATTGAGAAAGTGTTCCTTTTTTTTTTGAAGCTTGAATTCTTGTTATTAAGATAAAAGTATTTACTTGATTAGCTTTCAGATAAAAATAATCATGAAATCTCTTATGGGTGAAAAATCCAGTTTCTAGTTACACCAACCTGTCACAATTTGAACTAATTAAATCTTGGGTGCCTTCTGCCCCCTCAACTCTCACTATAGGTAATGTTGTCTGGAAACAATGGAAAAACTGTATAAACCACAGAAAAACTTCCCTGCTGCTGATTTGCAAAGTGATTTTCCTTTGTGAAGTTTAACATTTCTAAAAATGTCAAATACCTGAACATTTTATTCAAACAGAGTGTGTGGGCATAATCTGACAGGATCTCTCTATTTGTTTCTTTGACATTGTCTTATTCAACTTTTTACACGTTTTCTATCAACTCTAGAAATGATCCGAATCAGCAACCCCCAATACTTCCATTTCCTTGAGCAGGCAGATTACCTTCGTCGCTCAGGGTTGCTCTGTGACGCCATCATCTCAGTGAAGAGTCAAACTTTCCGAGCTCATCGGCTGGTACTGGCCTGCGCTAGCAGAAAACTAGCGCAGCAGCTAGCCCAGGGAGTCACAGACAACCCAGTCCACTGCACCCTGGAGTATTTCTCACCCCACACCTTCCAGCAGGTTCTGGACTTCACCTACACACAGACTTTGGAGGTTTCCGTGGAGGACCTGCACCTACTGCTCAGGGCTGCTCAGCTGCTGGAGATGCAGCTGCTGGAGGATCAGTGCCGGAAGCAGCTGTACAATCTCCACTGCAGAGCCAGAAGTCAAGAAATTACAGATGTTAAAGAACAAGAAGAAAATGAAGAAAATGAAGAGGATCAAAAGCCAAAACGAAGCCAAGTTTATGAGGAGAGACTCAGACAGAAATCTTCCCCTGTGGAGGAGGAAGGCTGCGACATCATCACAGAAAACAGTACACTTTCGGATCCTGCTAAGAACCACAACTGTCCCCAATCCCAAATAAAGAAGCCCAAAGTGTCCCCTGTTTCCTACAATAAAGACAGTGTCATTACCAGACCTGCCACCAGCAGCTCCTCCTTCTCTTCCCCCTGGATTCTACCAGCAAACTTGTGGAGCTCTATGAGCACCCTGAGGCGCATAGCAGAGTACTCAAACTTAGTTGCAGCTCACCCTCTTCAGCCCCAAAGCCAGTTCTCCCTCTCCACTCCCCACATATTCCCTTTATTTGACCCCCATTATCAGAGCTCCATAGTGGGCTACTCAGCCTTTCATCCCCAATACACACAAAACTTTTACCCTGGGTCTAAAGAGACAGGAGACATCATCAAACAAGGAGTGTTAAAAAGGAAAAGACTGAGACAGAGAGCATTCACAGGGAGTGTTCAAACCAGCAACATGAGGTAAGGCTCTCAGACATGTTCATGGAAACATCTTCTTATTTTTCTCTTTTTAATTTTTCTCCCTGTATTTTCCTCTTACAGAGTTATTTAGAATCCCCTAATCTGCTCAATTGTTCCCTTGCGACAGCTACTGTACCTGACTCACTGCTTTTTGGGTAGATGTGTGTGTTCGAGCCTCTTGCACTTTCCAACTAGAGCAGTTTCACCTGTTAACCCTTCCCTGCTAATCCTAGTCTCACAAAAGACACATCATTTTATACTCCATGAATTATGTTCTGAGTTATTTCTGTTGGATTACTACACTCCAGACTTTGATTTAATTCTGAATGACTTAACTACTCTACGTGTGTCATAGTGTAAAACCCTCTTGACTTTTGTTTTGGGATGATTTATGTCTTTTTTTTGTGTCAATGCAAATTGTACAGTGTTCCACGCATAGTAAACCAAACAGTGTATAAAGGGGAGCCCCCTAAATTTCTCCCCTCCTTTGCAGATTTGAAGATTTTACACCCACTGAAACACAGTTTCAGAGTTTCAGATCGACCTCTTATACACTAGAAAGAAATTATTGAAAACATTCAAGTGTCCTGGAAAAAATAGCTTCCATCTTTGTCATTTAATTATCCTTTACATTCTCCTTTTACATTACATTTATGTGAAATAAGCTTTTACCCTAAATGAGCTACATAATGTCTTGACGTTGGAGACTGAGAGGAACAAAGTTGCCTGTTTAGGGCCCTATTCTGTGATAACACAAAATGCTTCCGTGAGTCTTCTACATGGCGCATATTTCTCTATTGATGTATCTTTTTGGAGCGACATTCTGAGGGTTGAAGGTACAAGTCGTGTCAGTTTTTTGCAACCGCATCATAAAATGTTTCTCTGCAGTATTCAGGAGGAACCCAAAGCCAGCCCAGAGAGAGAAAAAGCCTCCCAACACTGCAGAAAAAGCCTCACTGTTGATCCAGCCTCCACCCGATCAGGTAAGAATATGATTGTGACAAATGTAAAAGAAAAAAAAACACATTGAACACACTATTCTGAAATTCTACAAATCACATCATTATTCATATATAGCTAGAAGAAAGTGTTACTTATGTGGTGTAGAACTGACATGGTAAAACAGTTTAACATGGTAGTAAGATGTTCATGCCGTGACCCCTAACCTTGGCAGGCTCATACATTTTAGACTCATATACTCATAATGCTGCTACATACATTTAGCTACGCAATGGAAAGTGATAAAGATGTCTGTGGTTTTGAGAGCCCCGGTGCAGCAGGAGCAGTAGTGTGGTTAGATACAGCGAGATACATGCTTTACAGTATTTACTGCATCGCAACAGTGGTTTTTCCTGAACCAAACGCAAACATGTTCTTCTTTTTTACTCTACAAAATATGAATAGAAGATGGCAATAACACAAAAAAACAGCAAAATTAACGGTCTGAGTTTGTGTGTGTTTGTGTGTGTTTGCATATGCATGTGTGTAGGAATATGCAAATACGAATGTGATAGCTGACTCTGCTGACTGTGCAATCTAGCTGATGAACAAGGTTTTATCTGATGGTTAATATCTTTGCTCAATGGAACATTATGTTCTTGCTCCAACAGATAAGGCTGATCTGCTCTACACTCGATTTGCGTGTAGGTTGCACTCTACTAACTTAGATCTCTGATTACATAATAATACTACACTAGCACTTACTGAAACTGATATAAAGTTACGTAAAAAATGTATAAAGCACATAAACTAAAAAGTATATAAATACATTCCAGCTCCTGTCTTTCCTGCTGCTATGAAAAGTCTTATTATGATCCTATGCTATGTTTTTCTCTTACCATGAAAGTAAATGTGTGTAAATCAGGCTAAAGAAAAAAATAAAACATCATCTTTGTAGGACTTTAGGGCTTGTAAAGTGAAAGCTGAAGAAGAATATTGGACAGGAAACGTGATAATGGTGACAGGTTGTGTGAAGAGTGGTGAATCTTCAATTGTTGTGGTTTGAGCTTGTTCTCTTAGTTTCCCCTACTTCAGACCCATCCTCTTGTTTCAGCATCCTGTCTACACTATAAGGCCCCCAGAGTTTTCACTTTAGAAACTCAAAAAAACTATCAGGTCAGAAAGCCTTAACTGTTGCTCAGTTAACCTCAAAATCACACCTTTGTAATTGTAAGAAGAATCGTACCATATGCAGCTGCAGAGGAGACGCATGCAGTGTGACAGGGAAAGAAGAAAAAAATAACTTGTTTGGTGGAACAGGATGCTGACCAAAACTAACTTGTGCATTTAAAAGTGATTCAACTACTTATATTTGACTTATATAGTAATCAAACATAATAATAATCGCTTGGATAAATTGCCTTGCAAAGGGACCCAAGGATGCTTACTCTTTACGTTTCATAATCCTCAGTCATTTCTAATATCGCCTTTAGATGAAAAAAGAAAAAAAACACTGTATCATTTTGGTTTCCTTTGATAATTTATTTTTCTAGCAGATTTAATTTTCTCGTAATAATCAGGGAATGTATTGATTTATACAATTTTAGAGAACAGTGAAAATTGCAGCGCCTTAAGAGACTTAATACTGATACTGTTCAGCTAGCAGATTGCTTATAATTTTATTGCTGAAATAAACTTCGGGGATATTCCATTTGATTCAAAACTGACAAGTAGAAGATCGTCACACTGGAGAAGCTAATAGATGTAAACTTCATATCCATTTTGAAATAACTTACCATGATGGCTCTTTAAATTAATTTAGAAACTGGTGTCCTTTGAGGCCTGCGGATTAAATTGCTCTTTATTTGAAAAATGAAACTACATATCCACACATAATAAATGAAAGAAAAGCATAAATAAATAGATGTTCACTGTTACCTGTTTCAGGAATTGTAACACATTACCAGGTACAATTTTTTGTGAAAATCCAGGCCACAGAGCATTGCAGGCCCACCACAATGTTCACACATTCATGTATTATTGTCATGTTGTTGTTTGCACAGGTGAGGCCTGCACAGGGAGTCGGTTATGTGGAAAAACACACGTTGTGCAACATGAACCCAAATCCCATCGACAGGAGCAAAGAGGAGAAAAACCGTACCAGTGCCAACTCTGTCCTAAGACGTTCAGTCTGAAACATCAACTGGACACACACCATCGAGTTCACACAGGTAGGAAAGTTGGTTAATCTGCTTAGTGCTTTGTGAGTCCTTGAACTCAGGATGTTCACATTCATAGATTTTTCTATAAAAAACATCCTACAATTCAGCTCTGAGACTCATGGTGCTGCTGAGTGCTTCTGTAGATATTAAATATGTCTAAAACGTAGGTCTGTGCCTGCTCACAATAATGTCTTTGTTTTATACTGTGAGCCATCAGAGCAAAAACTACAAACAATCTCCAAGGAAACTTTGAATAAGTACATTCATTATATTTGTCCAAAATGTAGTAAATAAGTGAAGTCAGATTAACAAGGCTATCTCAGAAAAAAGTGTTCCTATACAATGCATCCAATAGATAAAGTTAGAAGGACTAGTTAGCATTTAAGCCTTGTTGCAAAAATCTGAAAAATTAGAGTGAGGTTCACTGTTAACATAGTGAGATAAGTTACAGACAAAACAGGGGGTTTGAGACTCCTTCTGTTTTTTTTTTTTGGTTTTTTTTATTACCAAGTTAACAAACGTTACTACACCTGGAATGTACAAACTTTAAACCCTAAAAGCTATAAAGCAAAATCTCAGATGTTATTCCCTTGCTCCTCCTTCCTCCATTTCCTGTTCCACTTCTTCTCTCTTCTCTTTACTTCTAGGAGAGAAACCGTTCGAGTGCCGTCTCTGTGGTCAGCGCTCACGGGACTACTCAGCCATGATCAAGCACCTGCGGACTCATGGCGGCGCAGCGCCCTACCAGTGCACCGTGTGCATGGAGTTCTGCAGTAGCCTGGTGGCAATGCAGAGACACGTCAAAGGTCACGCAGTGCAAGACTTCCCCCCTGACTGGAGCATCAGCAGCACCTACATGTACACGTCACACATCTGAACCTCACAGCAAAGACACTCCTGGCTAAGATAAATCTCTTGTGGTTTAGCTTTACGTTTGTTACTTTCATGTGTTGTTAACATTATAGATACGAGATATACTGAAGGATAAATCCCTGACTCAACTTGCAAAGCACCTTTCATACGAACATGCAGCCCAAAGTGCTCCAGATACAAACAGACAGTAAATGAGAACAGCAATTGACATTGGCAACAGTTAAAGCATGTAAAAATGTTCGAAATTAAAGAATAAAATGGCAAATAAAGTCGGATGGTCCATATTAACGGCAGGGAAAAAAGTAAAAACGTGCCAAAAACATGGATCAAAACTTTAATATTGCTTCTAACATTAATTGGAGCTGTATACATTTTCTACTAACACTTAGATTGCGCTGGTTTCACAACCCCAACAATAGACTTATTTATTTCAGTTGTGTGTTTGAAAGTCATTCAATTGTTTAACATTTCACATCGAGGCATGTTAAAGCATTGAACATAAAAAGTTGATGTGCACTGAAAAACATGAATCTCCTTACTTTCATAGTTATTGGATCATTGTGCAAGCTCAGTAGTTCTAACCTAGGTTTATAGCACCCTCCTGAGGGCGACTGGTGTATTTATTTCTGCAGTAGGGCACACAAATGAATATCCATGACAAAATGGGAGCAGGGGCTGAGGTAATACAGGTGCAGGCATACAAAGTATTTTTTTTGTTTTTATTCATGGAACATATAAACAGTTTTGTGTATTGTGAGATGACTCTGTCTGAATCTGTCAAAAAACATCTTGTGTCAGATTTGTCATCGATTGTCACTATTTATATCCCTACTGAATTAAAATTCAAGCATATCCATTTGAGCCTTTTTAAGCAGTGACTTTATTCAACTCCATTATTGAGAGTAATGCAGGAAGAATGTTATCCAGAGTACGTCAACACAACCTTGAACCTACATACCATGCAGCATTCTAACATGAAAAAGTTTAAGGAAGACTGTAATGGGAGACGAAAAGGTCACTCAGCAGCTCTATTAATAACAAAGCTTATGCAGGAAACATGACAGTGTGGATATTCTGTAATGTCAGAAAGTGTGAAGTTAGAATTTATGAGGGGCCTTACAAGACAAAATTAATTCTGGCCCTCTCCCACACATAAATATCTGTAAGAGATGTATGTATGAATGTATTGTGTGGGTTTATGCATGTGAATTGATTACATAGGCAGAGCTTTTTTAACTTAATAGCACTTAAAGATTGTGTTTATTTGTGAAACATTATTAAATGTTTTTGTGGTATAAAATAAATATTTCTCTTTTCTTTCATTTAAAGACTCAAATGGGTCATATCATATTTAATGATGGCATGTGTATAGAATAACAGACAATCCAATAAACTATAGCTTACATAACACAGTTGTCCTGGTGATTCTTTGTAAGTTTTGAATTTAAAAAAAAAACTTATAGAAGTTAAAGTAAGTGCTTCAGGATTGGAGGGGAAATAAAACAGTGGTGTCCCATGGAAGTCTGGGCCACATGAAGCGATAACACTCTACCCTATCCACGCTCTCAAGGGTGGATAGGGTTTTACTGATGAAATTATATCTACCCTAACAGATGTGTAATAAGAGAGTGTGTTTTAAAATATCTTAATTACTGAATTTCAGATAAAAACACACCAAAAACACTCTTAAAATAGGACATTCTGTATTTTTTTCTCCTCCCCTTTGACATTCAAAATCAGCGATACACCATCTGTGTCAGCAAAGTAAAGCCTCAGGCCAACCAAAAAAAATTATTTTCAGGGCAATAATACGTTTATTTGTTGTTGTTTTAAGGATTTTAATTTTTTTGTATTTAGGATATATTTATGAGTTCTGAAGCAATGGGACCAACATATTTATGTCAATTTAATTACCTTATTAATTTTTTTTTTTTTTTTTATTAATAACTTTTGACTTTTGCAATCTCTTAAAAGTCAAATGAGGCCAGAAAATATTTCATTTATAGTGCAGATCATTCTGAAGGTTGCTACTGTGACACATTCTGTTAAATCCAAACACTTGTTATTATATTTAGCACACTGAAGAGTTTGTCATGTACAGCTTAGCTTGTGGACTGAATAAGAAAAAAAACAAGTACTTTTAGTATAAAAGGGGTACGGATTGGTTTGTTGTCTCTGACATAATCTGTTGTTTGTTTGTAAATGTATGCATGGGCTGAGTTGACTAAGGAACCGAATCACCCTCTGGGATAAATCAAGTTTTCTAAGTCTAAGTATAAGTCTAAGTAATCACAGCCTTATAGCAAAAGTTTCACATTTTCCTACTCCGGTGACAGGAAACTCAGCAAATGAGCAGTTCAACAAGTTCTGAAACAACAGTCTAATTCTTTGCCATTACATATACTGGAATACTGGAATGAGTTGGATGAACGGCATGTAAAGATCTCACATACCTTCACACTAATCAAATGAATAGAACTGATACAGCGCAAGCTAGAAGTTTTCCAATATCGGTATTAAATAAAGTAATAAAAACAATCACAAAATGAGACATTTCTAATCAGTTCTTATCCTTCTGGGATTTAAAGTCAGTAATGTACACTATAAGTCAGCTCATTTGATTTACCTCTATGCCGATGTGTTTCACCAAATTGTCCTTCTTAAAAAAAACATTATATTATAACAAAAAAATCACAGTAGTCTAAAACTGGTGCAAGTCGGAGAGATATATATGTATTTTTTTATTTAGTTCAAGGTAGAAGTTACAAACTTCTGAAGCAATGTAGCCAAATTATTTTTTGCATATCGCGGTGAGGGCTGCTACGTAGATGATGTATTCTTTGAAATCCACAACACCATCCTTGTTGAGATCCAGCGAGTTGAAGAACTCGCATACTTCATGTTGGCATCTACACTAATAGATTAAAAAATGGAGAGTTGTTTTTAGAGGGTGGATCAAATATATCATGTCAAAGAGATATGGACACTGTATTGTGGTAACACTATATTTACCTCTGCTGTAGGCATTTCATTATGGAGCAGCTCTTCAAGTTCTGCTCTCGTCAAAGTTTTATTATCACCGTCTTTCCCAGCATACCTGTCAAAGGTATCTATGAGGAGTCCCATCGCCAAACAGAGAGGAGATGTCATGGTAGCTGAAACAAGAACCTTTTGGTTTAGTCCAGAGCATTTATTATACAATGACATGGCAAATATATTTTTTTTACTTGTGTTTATGAATAGAACTGATAATTTTATATTCAGTGCAATCTGAAAATATATCCCCCCCAGTCATGCTTGATTTTCTCATTGTGATCCTTTCTCTGTCCTCTGGGGGAAATTCTATATTACTACTTTTTAAATAACAAACACGATCAAGTATTGATGATACACCGGCAACGCAAACAGGACATGTTTGATGTTTCCTACATGGATTGGCTTTGCACTGTCATAAGGCAAGTTGGGGTTAACATTTACCAGAACCCAGTTTACGACTTTTACTTACATAAAAAATCCAAATGATAATGGTCACAGTCTCACAATTTTAATATTTATTGATGTGGCTAAACTATTTAGAAACAGCATTTAACCCTTCACACAAAGAAAATGCAAAAGCTCATCATGACTCTCAAGCCATATCACCTGACTGCACATGATGAGTCAATTTAAAATATTAAATTCTTTTTTTAAAAACAAAAGTATTTTAAGAACATATCGCCACTTACCACCAAGACTGTTTGACAAGTTCTGTAGGTTGAGCGAGAGGAAGAGAGGAATTTGAATGGAGCATGCACACAAACCCATTTATAGTGTGACAAACCCTAGAACCCCTCCCGTTTTTGTCTTCATTTTTCTCCTCAGACGACAAGCTACATGTCTATAAACTGGATTACTAAAATAAACCAACAAATAAAATGTTTTACCTTTTAGAACTAAATACTCTCCACCATTAACACCAGTGTTGGAATCCCATAAGGTATATATCATGGTTTATATAATCTCTTCCTAGTCTGCATGATAAATATTTTAAATATTTAGATACTGTACATAGGTACACATGTGCTTTTTTAAACACTTGTGTTTAGTTAATATGTACAAATTCTAGAAATAGAGCAGTTTTCCCCCTCCTCAGGGTTGTTTCCTGTTCTGTTTGTGTCAGCACCCAAACATTGACATGATGGTTAACGTTTAACAATGGAATGGGTCCATTAATGATCATATAAGAGACTGCTGTTTAAGCTAACATGTTAAATGAAAATTAAAGTTTGTGTAAAAACATTTTTCAAATATATATATATATATATATATCCCATGTAATGGGCCGCCCTGTAACCTCCAAGAGAAGGCAAGCAAGATGGAAAAGCATATCTCACTTGGGATGTCTGAGCTCTTTACTTTTTAGTGTATACATTTTGGACACTTGTACATGAAATCCAGTTCTTCAGTCACTTCTCAAAGCTCATGATTTTTAGGTGAGGGTTGGAATGTAGATTGACTGGTAAATTGAAAACTTTGCCTCAAGCATCAACTTCCTCTTTAATAACATGGTAGGTTAAATACAAGCATTACTGCAGAAACTCCGTCAACCTGTCTGTCGATCTCCATTCTATATTCATTTGAGAACAAGAACCTGAGATATTTGAACTCCTTTGCTTGAGGCCCTGAGTGGGTGCATATATGAAGCAGGCAATCCACTTTTTACACAAGAGAACCATCAATCACCAACACGTAACGACTGCGTCACACACTCGGTTTCAAACTCCCTGACTGCTGTTGGACAACATTTGATAAAGTAAACAGAACCACATCATCTGCAAAAGGCAGAGATGCAAGTACGAGGTCCCCACAAACCGCACCTTAAGATCCTACCCGAGAAAATCACAAAACAAAATGTTGAAAAAGTACAAGCCTGCCAGAGAGCAACTTCCAACATGATTTTTTTTAAATCATGTGTTCAGTATACAAACATACTCTCACTGTGATTGTCTTAATGTGGCTGGTTATACGGCACTGGCATCTTTCTGGCTTAGAACCTAGAATCTGTTGACTATCCCCCTTCACCTTCTGATCCAACTTAAAACCAGGTGGTGATCAGGTGACAGCTTTGCTCCTCTTATAAACTAAGATATGGCTGCAGATCTGATAATACAACAACAAAGTTATTTATTGAGATTGGTTGTTCTGGAATGAAATACACTTTTGAATTACTTTTCGCTTTAACTTGGTGTTGATAGTGGCCAATCAAAGATTAGCAAATAAAAGCCCAACACAAACCAATTAGTTTTGGACCAGATCATCAGATCGAGTCGCTTCTCCATATTACCCCCCTCCATAGTTCTCCATCATTGTCCATGTGGGCATTGAAGTTGGTTACCTCAGCAGAACTACAGAGTTTCCAGACAGAACCCTCTTCAGCAACAGCCTGTCAAATTAAAGTACCGTCCAAATGACTGTCAGCCATGTCATATATTCCTTTAAGTCTGGTTTGATTGATTACTTGCTTTCTCTGTCCCTCAGGGGGAAATACTTGATTTCTAATGGCCTTTAGTTTAAAACAAGACACAGGGACACACTGATGATGATAGAACAGAGAAGTAAATTGGTTATGTGGTGTGACAGGCAGGTCTGCATTTTTCTGAAACAATCCATGGCATCTTAAAGCTTCACTTAACATGTCTTCTCCGCTGCTTTGTCTTATCACTTCATCATTCTGGTTTATTTCCATAGATTTTTAAAATGTTATTAATGTGATTATTTGTTGATATGATTTCCCTCAGAATCATTGCTAACCTTAGTTTACCAAATTTCGGCAAAGTCCACAAACTTTGCCATATTCATGAGAACCTACATTATCGAAACGATCATTCCAAACATTGTATGAATTGACTCAGAAAGATGTGTTAGTATTAAGATGATGTATTCCAAGCAATAAAGAAACTATAGAAGCTCATCATGCATCTAATGCCCCGTAAATCTGCTTCACTGCATGTGTAAAAATTATCATGCAGGAATATGGCCTTTCCTAATAGCACTTACAACTAAGCTCCTTTACCATTTATACCAGCGTTGGGATGTACATATCACAATACACAAGTTCTAACTGGAATGCGCTTACAAGCATTTATTCTTTAAACCCTTATACTATTTATGGTACTAACCAAACCATGTACCAAATAGGGATTTAATGTATTCAACAGAGTTAGTAATAGCTGCATAAAGCAGAAATAATACCCATTGACATGGCACTCCTATGTATTGTTTTCCCACTTTATTCTTCCTGTAAAAAAAGATGGTGAATTCTGTTTATCATCTTCATTAAATGCATGAATGGCATGGACACTTCAAAGTGAAACATCTCAACACAAACACAAGGGGGCAGTCATGGAGAGTCTGAATAAAGTGCCTGTG